GGGTGGGGTCTGCAGAGTCCCCGCCCCCTCTCGCCCCTCCCGGCCGCGTCCTCGCTCCCCTATTGGCTTCTTTATTGAATATGGATGAAGGGGTGGGGCGAGGAGAAGGGAGGCTGGTCCGCACACAGGGACGGCCCCTCGCGAGCCCCACCCGCACCCCTTGGGCTATCCCAGTTCCTTGGTCCTGAGCACAGAACCACCCCGACACTGCGTTTGCTCTGCCATGGTCTAGTTCCGGCCTCTTCTCAGGCCCTCTCCAATAAATTCTTTTTCAAGTCTCCCTTCCTACCTCCTTCCCTTTCTCTTTCCCTCCTTCCATTCCCTCTTCCCTTTCTCCCTCTCCCCTTCCCTCCCCTCCCTCCTTCCTTCTCTTCTTCCCTCCTTTCTTTTCTGCCTGTCTTCTTCCCTTCTTCCCTCTTCTTATTGTCTTCCTGTGATTGTCGTGGTGCTCTCTCCTATCTCTATATTTCCTCTCAGACACACACACACACACACACACACACACACTCCACTCGCTATCACTGTGGGACCCTCCCCTTCCCAGTTAATTCCTTCCATCTGCAGAATCGCTTTGGACCGCCTGCGCCGAGGGGGGCCCGGGTTCCTGCCCCAGGAAGGGCTCACCGCCCGCCCCTTCCCTCCTCCCCCTTGAGCTTCTCCTGTTTCTGCTTCAGGCTGGCCTCCCGCTTCTCTCCCCTCTCCTCTGTCCAGGCCCCATCCTCAGCCCACCCCAGTCCCTTGGAGGGGCGCCAGGACCCCAACCTGGGCTAGAGGATCTCGGGAAGCCAGACTTGCCCGGAGAATCCCACACTAGCCTGTGGTTCCCGAAACCTTGAGGCTTTCTGCTCTCAGTCCCAGGATGGTATATGCTGTCCCATATCCAGGGATTTTCCAAGGAGGTCCAGTCTCTCCGGGCCACCTCAGAGGAACTGACTGCCTGGCTTCCAGTCTGGCCTTGGAGCCAGCCACTCCTCCTGGTGTTCAAGTGTCAGTGAAAGGACTTCTGAGTGGCACCTCACCTCTGCCAGCCAGCCTGAGTTCTCCTCTGTAAAATGGGTATAACTATATGGAAACTCCGTGTCTGTTGTGTGGCAGCTTGGGTTTGCTAAATGGAAGCTGTTCCAGGAAGGTCATTTATCCCCCAGATGTCTGCTCTGCTAGGGCACCTAACACATCTATAGATGCTTGTACCAGATTGCCCTCAGTGGTGACCAAGGACTGCCCTGTCTCACCGACCAAGAGCTCCTTTGATCTCAGATCTCCATGATTTGAAAATTTGTCTATCAAACAATTTGCAATTATTAATTTAAATAACATGCATACCAATTTGATACCAACATTTTTATTCCTCAAAGATTCATCTCTATAAATGAGATGTGGTGATGCATGCCTGTAACATCAGCATGGAAGATGTGGAAACAGGAGAATCAGAAGTTCAAAGTCATCAACTACATAGTGAGTTTCAGGCCAGCCTCGGCTACATGAGACCCCCATCTCAAAAAAAAAAAAAATACTCAGCATCTCTGGAATTCTTCTAGGGACTTTGGGCTTTTGAAATAACAGGTTAGGATGCTACATGAGACCCCCATCTCAAAAAAAAAAAAAAATACTCAGCATCTCTGGAATTCTTCTAGAGACTTTGGGCTTCTGAAATAACAGGTTAGGATTTGAAATTATCTTCCCCAGACTGTATAAAGATAGGTGATATCAGGGGGCTGGAGAGCTCTTGCAGAAGACCTGAGTTCGGATCCCAGCACCCACACTGGGTAACTCACAACTACCTGTAAGTAACTCCAGCTTCAGGGGCTGACACTCTCTTCTGGCCTTTGCAGGCATCTGTCCTCATGTGTACATACCCATACACATACCCACACATACACAATATCAAAAGTAAAGTAAATCTTTTTTTTCTTAAATGGTAGGCAATATCTTCCAATTGCCAGCAGGGAGTTATGGAGCCCAGAGGAGCCCCGGAGGCACCCAGCCCCATTTGGAGGTCTCTGTTCCCCCAGCCTTCTAGATGAAGTCACCCTATTGTGTCAAAATGCTGATATCCCCCCCGCCTCCAGTATGGGTTTCAAATCCTCTAGAGGTCAGGCAAGTAACTGGCAGATGTAGGTAGTAAGTAGGTGGTGCTAGCCAAATGGAATACTTCTGTCCCAGTCTCACCTTGAGAGTGGGAGCCAGAAACCTGCTTAGAGAGACACTTGTGGTCCCTTCTTGGTCTCCAGAGTGCTTTGATTCCAGGAGAGTACTTGTTTTAACTGGTGATCTCTGCCTCTCCCTCTCCTCCCTCCTCCAGCAGTTCCTACCCACAGCCCAATACACCACTAGGGGGTGATGGGGAAATATTTGGTGGGTTGAGAGGCAGGCAGATGAAAGGATAGCTAGATTAGGTTTCTTTGAAGCCTTAATGACTTTTGTGGGTTTGTATGTCTCTCCCTCTGCCCTCAACATACTTGCTCAATATGCAAGCTCTGTATCCAGTAGGTGATCAATAAATGTGAGCAGCCTATGGGCAGTTTGCCTGGAGAGCAGCCAGCTGGCCTGAGGTCAGCCCCCAGATGGCTGCTGGAGACAAATGCTGCAGAACTTCCTGAGACCATGTGGGTTATGGGATGGGGTTATAGCTAGGAGTGACAGGGGGTGCCAGAGGAATGACCAGGCCAGAAGACTGGGCCAGACCCATCCCTGTACCTCCTTACCTACATACCCACTTTGCACAGGAGGTAGCACTCAGACAAGGAACTTGTCACCCAGGGTCACCCAGTAATCCTGATTACTAAGCTACCTGCTCCTAACCACACCCTGGCTCTCCCATCACTGGTCCCAATCTGTAGCCTAGCCCCAGGTGGTAACCTTGGAGTTGGAAGTAGCCCAGAACTCCTGTGTGAGGCTCCAGTCTCTGCTTCCTTCTGTCTGTTGATGGCATCCACTTGATGGGCTTCAGGATGGGACAAAAGAAAGAAATCAGGATTTGGAAAACAGCTACTGGTCAAGTGACCTTGGGCAGGTCCCTGTCCTCTCTTTAAACTGTGAGAATGGTTAGCCCATCCCTATTCACTTCTCCAGGAACTAGTGGGGCCAAACGAGAGTATGACCAGGATGGATATTCTTTGCTAGCTATAAGCAGCCATGTGGCAACGAAGAGTGGGATTGATCATTTCAGCAACTGTAATATTCAGTCTGTCTGGAGAGATGAGGCAAGAAGTGGTAGGGACATCTCTGTCCTGAAGTTGCCCAGGCAACAGGTCCAAGTTTTGATGGGGCTTCAGACCAAGAACTCTGAGGTCAAAGGAACAGAAGAGACACTAGAAGGAGCAAGCCTTGGCGAAGGAATCAGCCTCTATTTGGGGCCCAAAAGGCAAGCGAGATGGATGGGCAGGGAAGATGGGGCTCCACCATCCCATACAACCTGATGCTTATCTCTGAAAAACAGCAGCATGGTGATTTATCACACAGAGGAACCCAGGAATCTGCAGGCTTCATGGCATTCCAGAATCAGGAATATAGTGAGGTGCCCACCGCAAGGCTGAGGTTCACCTCCTCTTTGTGGGCTGGGTACTTGGGTGCTTTTAGACTCTGTGTTGACACAGAGGGTGTCAGTTTACAGCGGAGAGGGCAAAATGCCAAACACTCTCCCTACTCCTGTTCTTGTCCCATCCCCCACTGGGACAGCCTTCACCAAGGCAGATACACCTTCCCAGACCTGACTTTTGGTCTGCCTCAAGGCAACACTCCAGGCCCCCACTCACAAGTAGCTGGAGTAGACCCTTGAAGTGAAAATTTCTACCATTCTAGCTTTCTGTCCCCCTTCTGTCCCCTCTCCTTACCCAGAGATCCAGCCGCTTGTGTTCAGGACATACCATTTAGTGAACACTAGCTAGATCTTACCCTCACTGACCCCAGGCGTCCTTCTGTGGTACACAGATGGTAAAACCATAAGAGCAGGCAGACTGACCACACTAGAGCCCTTGCACGGGCCTTTGACCAGCCTTTGAGAACAACTAGGGGCTAGTGGAAAACCTTAGCTTAGCATATGTGAGGCCCTGGATTCTATACCCAAGGTGGGGAATAGATAATGAAAGAGAGGGAGGGAGGAGAGAGAAAGAAAGAGAGGGAGAGGGAGAGGGAGAGGGAGAGGGAGAGGGAGAGGGAGAGAGAGAAAAGTGAGTACTTCTACCAACCTTGAGCTCAATATGTCCCTAGTGCAGGTTCTGAGTGGTGAGAAGGACTTGGGGCTTTGAAGACCAATCTCGTCTCAATTGTGTGACATTGACAAGAGTGTGTCATGCTTGGACAGTGTCCTGATGGATAAAATCTCCTGCTGTTGCTTGAATCTTAGGACCACGCAGGGAAGAGTGGGTAACCCTGATGGCCTGCCTCTGAAAGTCCTCAAAGAACACCCACTTGGTTTCAAGGCTGCTAGACAGTGTGAGGTAGGCAGGAGAGGAGTGGCCCCTGTGCCAGAGGCCAGAGATTTGTGCATGACCCAGACAAGCTGGTAGACCTCCTGATCTCTGGTCCTGGAAGTCACAGAGACAGGCCTAGGAGCATCCTCTGAAAAGCAGGGTAGGCAGTAGTCACTCTGCTTCCTCCTTCTGATTTCACATCCACTTTTAAGAATGGAGAGAAGGGAAAGGAAGAAGGGAAGGAAGGGAGGGTAAGGGAAGGGAAGGGAAGGGAGGGAAGGGAGGGGGAGAGGGAGGG